TGTGAAGGAAGAGGCCAAATCCCCTGAGAAGGCCAAGTCCCCTGAGAAGGCTAAGACTTTTGATGTGAAGTCCCCAGAAGCCAAGACCCCAGCAAAGGAGGAAGAAAGGTCCCCTGCAGACATCAAATCTCCTGAAAAGGCAAAAAGCCCTGTCAAGGAGGAGGTCAAGTCCCCAGAGAAGGTGAAATCTCCTGTGAAGGAGGAGACCAAGGCTTCTGAGAAAGAGGTCACAAAGAAGGAAGAGGCAAAGTCCCCCGTGAAGGAGGAAGAGAAACCCCAGGAAGTGAAAGTCAAAGAGCCCCCAAAGAAGGTCGAGGAAGAGAAAGCTCCAGCCACACCAAAACCTGAGGAGAAGAAGGACAGCAAGAAAGATGAGGTGCCCAAGAAGGAGACTCCAAAGCCTGAGGTCCAGGAAAAGAAGGAACCTGCTGTGGAGAAGCCCAAAGAATCCAAGGTTGAAGCCAAGAAAGAGGCTGAAGATAAGAAAAAAGCAGTGACCCCAGAGAAGGAGGCTCCTGCCAAGGTGAAGGAGGAGGCCAAGCCCAAAGAGAAGGCTGAGGTGGCCAAGAAGGAGCCAGATGATGCCAAGGCCAAAGAACCCAGCAAAGCAGCAGAGAAGGAGCCAGAAAAGCCAAAGAAGGAAGAGACACCAGCAGCACCTGAGAAAAAAGATGCCAAGGAGAAGACCACAGAGGCCAAGAAGCCTGAAGAGAAACCCAAAGAGGAGCCTGGCAAGGAGGCCCCCACACCTGGCAAAGCCAAAACGGAAAAGGCTGAGAAATCCTCTAGCACAGACCAGAAAGACAGCAGGCCTCCAGAGAAGGCCACAGAAGACAAGGCCTCCAAGGGGGAGAAGTAAGGCAGGGAGAAAGGACTATCCAGAACAGCCAAAGAAACTCAGGAGGGCCCGGGAGCTCAAGAGTTGACATAACAAATTTTCATGTTTTTCTCCCTTTTCTTTATATAAGAAACTCTACTTAGACGATGGGGCCCTCCTTCACCAAACAGAAATTTCTATTAGCAATATGTTAGCAAGAGAGGGTATTCCCGACCCCCCAACTCCACACCCCAAACCCTCCCCAGGCGATGGACAATTATGTTATATGATAGCTTATGTAGCCGAATGTGATATATGCCGAATGCCACATGTAAACACTTGAGTATACAAACTGATCCCCTCCTTTCCAAATAAGTGCATTTATTTCCTGTATGTGCAACTGACAGATGACCGCAATAATGAATGAGCAGTTAGAAACACATAATGCTTGAGATGTCTTAACTTATTCCTGAATGCCTTCTGTTTTCCAAAGGAGTGGCCGAGCCCTTGCCCAGAGCTCTCTATCCTGGAAGAGCTGGAGCAGGTGGGGCTATGCACTGGCCACTGAATCATGCCAGGGCGCACTTTTCCACTGGAGTTCACTTTCAATTGCTTCTGTGCAATAAAACCAAGTGCTTATAAAATGAAAATGTTTCTGTTGTTATTTATTCTCTTTCCCCAGGCAGGTTGGGGGACAGGGCCAGGGGAAGTCTAGATGTCACACTCAAGACAGCAGAGGACTGAGTAAGCATCAGAGGTCTCATGCAGGTATGGGACCAGTTAATGTGGCCTTCCTTGGGCTATTTCCTGGCATAAGTCATGTGCCAGGCAATGTGCTTTATTTTTAGGATCTTGTAGATAAGTGGTCTGGTGTATGGTTTCACAGGGTGGTCCATGGATCACCTATATCAGCATCATCTGGGAGCCATATAAAAATGAAGATTCTGGATGTCTCGGTTGAGCATCCGCCTTTTGATTTTGGCTCAGGTAATGATCCAGGGTCATGGGATGAAGCCCCATGTCAGGCTCTCCCTCTGAGGGAGAGAAGATTCTCTCTCCCTCTGACACTCTCACCCTACTCACAGGCACACTGTCTCTAAAATTAAAAAAAGAAAAAGTAGATTCCTTGTTTCCATTGTAGACCATTGAATCAAAATTTGAGGGGTAAGCCTGGGAAAGTACATGCTTTACCAACTCCCACTTGATTCTGATGCACCCTGACACCTGAGAATAGGTGAGGTCCTTTGAATATTAAAGTCTATTTATAGAGCTCTATGTCCTCTTTTGTAAGGAGGAATGAGTCTTCTGAATGAGGGGCCATATGTTGCCAATTCACCTGTAGTAAAGACTACAGTCACCACCATTGGGAACAATCTGTCAGTAGTCCCTTAATTGAACTCCAGCATACTTCTCCAGACACGATTTTGAAAGTTGTGTTGCTCTGGTGGACTGATGTGAGGTCTTTACTGTAAAATCCCTGTGTGGTTTCCAACTTTAGCACTGTCATGACTCCTTGTGTTTGTTTTTAGCACTTCTCCTGGGAATTGCTTCTTTCTCTGCCCCAACCAGGTGGTTCTCAGAGCCACCATGTTTTCTAATTGCTCTATGCCACTGGTCACTGGTGATTGGCCCAAGAATGACCACGTGACTCCAGGTGAGCCAATGAGATACCTTTCCCGGGATTTCAAACTTGAGACCAGATTGGCTGGCAGTTTTCTCATTGTGGAAGGTGGGAAGATATGGGAATCAGTAGCTATGGGCTACCATTCTTCCAGCCTTGAGGAAAAGTTAGTCTGTGAGAAAGGGAGAGATAGATGAACAGAGATAGATGGATAGAGACAAAATACCTAGAGAGTCATTATAGATTTCAAGTCCTTGATTCTGTTGTTCCTTTCCAAGGCTTGTTGGCCATTCTTTGAGCCAATAAAGTTTTGCCAAAATTCATTTAAGATACTTTAGGATTCTGTCATATGCAACCAGAAGAGTTCTGAATAATGTAGTGACTGAAGGGGGCTGGTCACTGTGCTAGAACACAAATGATGATCTCTCAGGGAATGAGCAAGTAACTCCTCAAAGTTGTGCCCAAAGTCCACTCCTCAGCCCAAGGCCCACATCTCACTTTTGGCAACCACTTTCATCTGTTACAGGTCTCAATTTTTATTTTTTTAATTTATGTATTTTTTAAAAGATGTTATTTTTTATTATTAAAAATGCTTTTTATACATTTATTTATTTTTGAGAAACAGAGTGAGACAAAGTGTGAGCGGGGGAGGGGCAGAGAGAGAAGGAGACACAGAATCTGAAGCAGGCTCCAGGCTCTGAGCAAGTGGTCAGCACAGAGCCTGATGCAGGGCTCGAACCCACAAACTGAGATCATGACCTGAGCCAAAGTCAAACGTTCAACTGACTGAGCCACCCAGATGCCCCAAAGATTTTATTTTTAAGTGATCTCCACACCCAACATGGGGCTCGGACTCACAACCCCGAGATCAAAAGTTGCACCAACTGAGCAGCCAGGAGCCCCATAGGTCTGAAGTTTTAAAACAAAGAGTATCAAGACAGTATAGGGTGGTCACATTTAAACAAAGGGGTCTTTAAATGTCATTTTAGAAACAGTTTTGATTGGCCCTTCAAGTTATCAAACACAACCAAGGACTCTGTGAAACCTGAGTATTAATTTTCTGAACAGTTCTGTCCTAGGGAAATCAGACCTCCACAGGCCCTGGCATATAGCTACACTACCTAAATATCGAGGGGGATCCAGGACCTAGGAAATCCCCATGTGTCTTTTCTGAAAAAAGTCACAATTAGTTGCGTTCCCCAAATTGCTTATAATGATAACTACCATTTGTTGAAGTAATCATATTTCGCATTTTCCCATCCACATGGGAGTTTTTCAAGGTAGCTCTTCTGTTGCCTATTGTATAATGCTGAGAAAACTGGTGAGGTGAGTTGCCCAGTCATACGGCTAGTAAGTGGTAAAGCCAGGATTTAAACCTAGAACTCCAGAGTCTGTGTGTTTTCTGTAGTAAGCTGCCACAGAATCCTGAACAAGTTTCTGTGGTGTATCATTGGCTTAATTTTGGTCATCAGAGGACTGCTATGTAGGGTGACAACTGTCCTAATTTGTCTGGCATGGAGAAGTTTCCCAGGATATAGGGCTTTCAGTGTTTCAAACTAGGAAAGTCCTGGACAAATGAGGATGAACTGAAGGACAATGGCTGTGCAGCCCGTATCCAGATTGGAATGAGTCTGGGGCGGGGG